ACCTTTTGCAGAGAACACCTTTGTATATTTTTAATGCTTACTGGGTTATATCCTATCTTCTTTTGTCTCTCATTCTTTTGCATATTTTGGAGTTTGACAGCTGAACTCCGCCATTTAATTTGCATATGCAACCAAAGTCAGACGCGTGATTTTGAAGGTGTTTTTATTTAATGAATTGTGATGAATTGGTTAATACTAAAGTCGTAAAGCAAGTTATAACAAATCAAGTAAAGTGTAAAGTGAAGGGGAATACAAAAATATATTGGTGAAGTGGCTAATTTAAGCAGAATAGGAGTGATAAAATGTACGCTAATTTCCGAATTTTACAAAAAAGGGCATATTTCAAACCTAATTTGTAAATAAATTAGTAACCAAAATTTACAAAAGTGAGTGTTAAAATATTGCGTGGACCCTTGACTACAAGTGTGTGAAATTTTTTTTGGATCGGGCCACCCATTTGGACGGAATAGCCCGAAATAGTTGTGAGCGGTACTAAACCCCACCCAGGGGGAGTTCTCCTGATTGCAAATATATATACTTTTAGCCGCAGGAGGCTTATAGATTTTAAATTATTTGTTGTTAAAGTTTGTAAATTGAACTAACCTCTCGGCGCTATTTCACACAATAAACACTATATTTATGTAGACACCTTGGCAAAATAGTTGCATTAAAACCCCAGCCTGAGGTTTCCACTTTAATATACAATTCTTAATTAATTAATTAAGTAAAACGCGTTTATAAATGTCTTCACAAACGTTTGCACATTTCACAAACAAGCAGAAATAACAATGGCTGACAGTAACACAAAATGTATGCTACCATACGTTAAAAAAATACACAAATAAGTGCGTATAATTAGGAAGTATAAGTGTACATATATTGCTCTTATTAAAAATAATAATATTAGGATCGATAGGGGTCTTACTCCTGATCATAACGGTATTATTTTTTTCGGGTGGAAATAATATTTACTGGTGTTATTGTAGTTCAAATTACACAAATGTAGAAAACGTACATCGTTAATTTGATAAATAAATCGCGCGATTTTTTATTAAAAATTTTCGCCTGCGGCGCTTTTTCCATAAAAATCAATACTTCGATAAATAATGAAAATTTTTAATAAAAAATCGGTTCTGTATTCACAATGTGCGTATACATATATAAGTGCGTGATAATTATTAAAACTTACTTAATTTACTAAAAATACATCATAAATGCAAAAAGTATGTTTACATTTCATCGTGCGGGGTTTTATTGCAACTATTTTGCCAAACTGTCTACATAAATATAGGCCCTTATTATGAGCTGCATTCGATTTTCGATCTTCGCAGGCTATCGAAGATCGAAGATCGAAAGTGAAATTCGTATTATGAGCTATGCAAGCGTGTCGAAATTTTCGTTGAGTATCGAATTTTCTGTCGAACAGAATTTTGCTTTGTAGCGAAGTGTTAGAAAATTGTGAAAAATGTATGATTTTGTATATGTTTTCTTACATTTTGGCGGCTAGACACTAATTTTAAACAATTTTTATTAATTTCATGCAGTTCTAACATCGTGAATACTAAACACAAGCTCGAAAAGCTGGTTTTACTTGTGAAAGAAATTCCCAATACTCTGTTGGCGCGATCTCTGAGAACAAAATTGTAGCGCTGTTGATAGTTTTAAAATATTTTAAATAGATTTGGCTCACAAACGCTTCTTTAGATGGCCGGAACTTTTTAATGAAGCTGTAGACAAATTTCTTAAATATATTTTATATCAAAATATATTCGAAAGACTAATAAACTTAAACTCTCTTAAACATTTGCTACTCCTGGCCAGTTTACTTAGCTCTCATCCTCCGACGAATCGTTGAACCAGAACTCGTTGTACTCATTTTACTACGTTTTTATAAACTTGCTTTCTTTTTTACTTCATTTTAATTAGAACAAATTTACATAAATATATATAAGCACACTATTTAGTTTGCTCGATTTGTAAACAAAGCTTCTCAGCGGTGAAAAATATACTATTGTGAACAACCTAAACGGGCGAAATTCACAATAGCGCTATTCTTCATCGAATAAGCGCCATAATACCAAATGAAAATTCGTTCGCTCAGCACTTTCGACCACAGTCGAAAATCGAATGCAACTCATAATAGGGGCCATAGTGTTTATTGTGTGAAATAGCGCCGAGAGGTTAGTTCAATTTACAAACTTTAACAACAAATAATTTAAAAACTATAAGCCTCCTGCGGCTAAAAGTATATATATTTGCAATCACGAGAACTCCCCCTACCCCCCCCATAGACACCTTTTTTTTGTACGCGGGGGATGCCAAACTAAAATTTTCCCCAGTTTTATATACACATTTTTATATACGAGACATTTTTATAAAACACCCAGTAACCAAAATAGACATCACTGGGGCGGCAGCCCCAGGTTTACCACACAGAAAGGGAATTCTAGTTACCCTCATCCTCTCCCAAAGTTAAATCACTGAGGCGGTAGCCCCAGTTAGGTCACACAGAAAGGAGAATTCTACGTAGTAAGGGTTATAATCTCTAAGCGGGCCGAAGGCCGCCTATGCAGAAAGAAATTCTACGCAAAAATACTGTGGACGCAAGTAAAAATTGCGATTTTTGTGGCCATTTTTCTAAGGTGTCCGTAGGGAACCATAGAGGGCCTAGGTGGTCCGGGGCTGCATTTTTGTCAATAGCAGTTCATGCCCTGTCCAAAAAGATTGGTTGGAGGTGCCACGTCCACTCCCCCTTCGCCCACCACACCTTCAACGAACGATCATACAGGAAAGTTTCCCCATAAAATTAAGAGAATTAATGACCTTGCGCCATAAAGGGTTAACCAGATATTGAACAACCGGAACTAAATGTTTGCAACCACGGTTAGATGCTAGTTTTCAACTAGATTACGCAAGATTAGTTCTTGTAGTGTGGTTTATACGGAATTTACATGATTCAACTTTCACAGGAGATTAGTTGAGCCAAAAGTTGAACGAAAGTAGGCAGCCGTCGAACTTCGTTGAAAGCGATTAGTTGAAAGGCTGTTTACACCAGGCGATGGTTGCTTTCAACTAAAAATCGCCTGAAAAGTCGCCTCATGTAAATTCCCTATTAGATAAGAAACTCGTGCCTTGCATTTTACATTAAGGAATTCACTCCCCAATTTAAGATGGTTTAATTACCCTCAGCGCAGCTTGGGGATCGACAATCTCATCTTCGTCTTCCGCTTTGACAACAGGTAAGAACAAGCTCATAGTTCTAAACAGCGCCATTTCTAAACAAGAGATTGGTTTTACCATTACAATTCTTAAATAAAAGATAACAGCTACTAACCTTAACGATGAAATACTCCTTATGATGCAATCAATAGAGGAGCTCACGATACATCGATGTTTTTGGCAAAAATACATCGATATTTTAATCGATGTTTACAACGTCAAATATCGATGCATCGATGGCGCAAATTCATAGACATATTTAGGGCCTGTGCTAATCGGTGACTTTTTTCTCAGTGGTGAGACGGGGTGGAAAAATTTGCTATGGGGTACAAATAAATTGAATTTTGCTGTGCCAAATGCAGAGTAAAATTTTGACAGTTGAAAAACCATACAAACGCTCGTGCGAAATCTTTATTTTTGTGTGTTGCTGAAATTCTTAAAATTTATATTTATTTTATAATTTCAAGTAATTTTTATGCTGTTTCAGCATTCATTTTCATGTTCACTCCTTATTACCGCCAAGCAATATTATGTGTATATATGGTTATAAGCTGTCAAAATTTTACCTAGCCCCATGAGCTAGGTAAAATTTTGACGTTCGTATTCACCACGAGAAGTGTCAAATTTTTACTTTGATCCGTCAAAATTGTCTATTTTCTATCAATTGGCACAGGGCCTTAGTACTCAACTATTCTAAGTCACAACTAAAGCTGTCCATAGTCGCCTTAAGCAGTGTTTGCATTGTTCAACTTTGCGTTCGACATTTGCGTTCAACTCAACGCAGGGTTGCACGAAAAAATAGTTGAATGGCAAAAGTTGGCTGGCGACCAACTTTGTTCAAAGCGATTAGTTGAAATTCCGGTCAACCATAACTTGAATGCAAAGTAGAACAATGAAAACACCTTTTTATGGCGAATATTTTGATAATTTTTCATATCTTGATATTTTTAGGCCTTCAACTTTTTTTTCGTGCAACCCTACGCTGAGTTGAACGCAAATGTTGAATGCAAAGTTGAACAATGCAAACACACTTTTAGTTTCGACTTCTCTGGCTAACTACCAACTTAAAATTTAGTTTCGGCTGCAGCGGCTGAGATTTCCATTACGGAACCAATTGCTATTCCGTGCAAAGTATAGTGAATTTTTTTATGAAACTCGGTGGGGATACTAATGGAGGTCTCCTTTAACTATATTTATCACTTTCACAATGTTGTTGCTAATAGTACTTAAGTTATTGTTGTTAAAATATCCCGCCTGCTATCACCACATCTTATTATAACTCCACACCTATCACTTTTATTTACACAAATATATTATTCTTACAAGGTTCGCATGCGTTTGTAATACCTTAATCATGATTCAACAACTACAGGTTGTAGCAATCGTACAAAAACAACATTTACCGTTGGTATGAACTCCTGGTGTCATCAACATTTTCTTTATCTATTCATATTCGTATGTATATGTATACCTTGCATACCAGGATTTCATAGAATTCTGAAAGGTTTCACAATTTTTTAAAGAATTTTCTAAGAAATGGTACAGAAATTTCTTTACTAGTTCTTGTCCACTGCTTCATATGTTTTTCTTTACAGATTTCTAAAAGAATCGTAACAGATTTCCGACACTCTTAAAGATTTCGGGAGCATTTTTTTGCAGGGTATATATATACGTATATGTGTATGTATACGTGGATAAGTAAATAAAGCAAAACGGACGATAATTTGACACAAGCGTGCGCATAAGAACAAGCATAGCTTCTATCGCTATCACCTGTAATTGATGCGCCTTGTACCTTAATATACAATTATTAATTAATTAATTAGGTACAACGCGTTTATAAATTTCTTCACAAACGTTTGCACATTTCACCGCTTGCATAGTTATGCAAATCTTTCTTACCGTCACCATCAGTTA